TTGTCTTCTTTTTTACTCGTATTATCAGCGTTATTATTATTCTGCGTCCTGGTTTGATTATTCCTAATATTATTATCATTTTATTATTAATATGATCCGTCTTCTGCGTCTTATTATTTTTGTGTTTCCTCTTCGTCCTCTTCTTCCTCTTCTTCCTTCTCCTCCCTTCCTCCTCCTCCTCCTCCTCCTCCTCCTCCCTCCTCCTCCTCCTCCTCCTCCTCCTCCTCCTCCCCCTCCCCCTCCCCCTCCCCCTCCCCCCCTTCCCCCTCCTCCCCCTCCCCCTCCCCTTCGGACCAGCGAACTCCGAACCGCGCAACCTAAGGAACGGGAGGTACTCAAGCGAAGAATCGGACCTGAATGCCCCTGCCTAGGCACGCGGATAAGGGCGAAAGCTCCAGCGCGCGCCCCGCAAGGAATGGGGGGGCCCGAAAGATGAGCTCGACCTTAGCGCGACCACCGTTGCCATTATAACGAGTCAGTGAGCTCCGAACCGCGCGGCCTAAGAAACGGGAGGTGTTCCAGCGAGGAATTGGACCTTAATGCTCCTACCTTGGCACGCAGATAAGGGCGAAAGCTCCAAAGCGCGCCCCGCAAGGAACGGGAGGGCCCGAGAGAGGCGCCGGGCTTGTGCGCGACCGCCGTCGCACTACGTCGAGCAAGCGCAAGGAACCGAGCCACTCTTGGAGCCCCGTTCCTTAGACTAGCCGCCCTCATTGACAAAACGAACCCGCGCGTCCCAAATCTGAAGGGACACCAATCACCAAGGGGGGCTCGCCGCCAGAAAGGTAGCGGAACGCATGCAAACCAAAGGAGCGGCCGAGCCCGTTCTGAAAAGTAAGTGTTCCTTATTCAAGCGGGACCCTGTAAGCTACACCAGCTAAAACGATACACTGAAGTCCGCCCGCAAATATGCCAGCATTCACTGAGTACTTTGGCATCAAGCCAGCAATCAACGGTAGACTGCGCAAAGCTGAGCGGCGCCGTGGCGGTCTGAGCTGCTGGCGGCAAGTCCACAACCACTCTGAGCAAGCACATGGCTGGTACGTACCCAACGACGGCGAGGCATGGCCAAACACCGCTGACGACCGGTGGCCAGACTGGGACGGGCCTGGAGCCGAACGAGCGCAAGCCAGAGCCCCAGCGAACATCTAGCTGGGCGGAGAGCAACACATCGGGGGTGCCCCCAGCTTCCCGCTCCACTCTGGAGCCCCTGGAGGGCCCTCTGAGCCTCGTGAGGGGCCCTGGCGGCCTCCTTGGAAATCCTGTGGGGCACCTTGGGCCAGGAGCACTTCTATAGGGGACAAACAAACCTGCCTCGCTTTTGACCACCCTCGCTTCCAAGAGATACCAAACGATGCCGAATTGCAGCCTGCACTGGTCAGGCCGCTCGACGAGGAGGCGCGTGGTACGGCTCGGCTTTGCCTGGAAGCGAAAGCGGGGCAGGCAACTCACGCTCTGATTTCTAGCAGCACCCGATGCGTCGGTGTCGTCGTCGTCGCTCGAATCTGCCGGAGCTCCCGCCAGATGCCTAGCGCGCGCGCTGGGGAGGAGGAGGAGGAGGAGGAGGAGGAGGAGGAGGAGGAGCCAGTAACACCCGAACAGAGGAACGGGGCTCACGCGCGTGCGAGATCGCTCGGGGTGTGCAGCGTACGCTTGGATGCGGCGGCCTCGGGCACAGGCAGGCCGGGGGCAGGAGGGCTGGTTCCATGGCGGGCGACGCTGACGAAGAACGCATCTGCTGTCAGAACTCCTACTCGTCCTCCTCCTCCTCCTCCTCCTCCTCCTTCTATTCCTCCTCCTCCTCCTCGTCCTCCTCCTCCTCCTCCTCCCCTCCTCCTCCTCCTCCTCCTCCTCCTCCTCCTATTCCTCCTCCCCCCTCCACGCTGACCCCAGAACTCCCTGCCCGCACGGGTGCGTTTCCTCAGCCTGCCGAGCCAGGCTGGGGATGTGAGCAGGCTGGCTGCCTCAGGCCGACGGCGTGCGCGGGGGCCGGCAGGCGAGGCGAGGCGAGGGCGGCATCTGCTGCGCGGCGGAACACAACCGATGCCGTCCGTCTTCCACGCGCTCGGAGGCGGTGCTGGCTGATGGCTGCGGGTGTTGGGGGTCCCGAAACGGTGCGGTGACGGACCGTGCGGTGACCTCGAAACCCCCCAAGACCTCACCGCACGGTCCGTCACCGCACGGTCTTGGGACCCCGGAGGCCCCTGTCGCCCGAGACGTCCTCGGAGAACGACCCGAGTCCCAAAACCGTGCGGTGACCCCGAATCCCCACCGACTCACCGCACGGTGTGGTCACCACCCCGTTTGGGGGCCCCCGAGGGTGCCGAGCGCATCGAGAGAGGACCGGGATGACAAAGACAAAGTGCAGTGTGCATGGAGGTGGCAGCCAGAAGCGGGAAGGAAGGAGCGCAAAGAGACGAGACGGGACGGCGGTGGCGGGAGCCTGCAGCGTGGCCTTGTCGCGCTGCGCTTGGACATACTTGTCCCCGAGGGCTCTCACCTCGAGATCCGATGCCCTCTCCGCTCTCTCGAAGGCCACGCTAACGGCGATAATGGTCCATGGCGTTGCTGGGCCTCTGGTCTTTGCGACGCCGCAGAAGGGCAGAACGAGTTGTAGGAAAACACGAACAACACTTTTCGACAACTGGGTCGGCCGCGAACCATTCACGCCTGCTACACAGAAACCCACATCGCCGTTACCTGCATCGCCGTTAGCGTGTCTGCGGGCTCTGTTCTCCTCCAGCTGCTCCTCCTGTCGCCACCTTCGATGTCACAGCTGTCGTGGGAAGGGGGCGAACTCCAAATTAGGAATGGCGACCTCCCATGGCAAATACCACCAACCCTGTAGGGCGTAAGGTGGTTTAGGGAGTTTCCTCTTCCACCCCTCCCTCTTTCCCTTCGGGGAAGGGTTTACCACTGTTCCGTATTAATAAACACCCCTCCCCCTGGCGACTGGGGGCCAACCCGGGTCCATGCCGACACCCCCCCACCATCCCTTGTAAAAACAATACAAACACACACTCTGCCTCCAAATTCGGAACATGCGCAACCAACCCGATGCGCCCCCCCCACCATCCCTGTGAAAAAAAACAATACAAAGTACACTTGGCGGCTGCGGCGGCTGCGGCGGCTGCGGTGGCGGCGGCGGCGGCGGCGGCTGCGGCGGCTGCGGCGGCGGCGGCGGCGGCGGCGGGGGCGGGGGCGGGGGCGGGGGCGGCGGCGGCGGCAGCGGCGGCGGTTTGGCAGCGAAGGGCGGCGGCGGCGGCGGCGGCGGCGGCGGCGGAGGCAGGGGCGGCGGCGGCGGATTGGCCCCCAGTAACTCCCCATCCCAAGACGACTGCTGAATATGCTGAGGCTCGGGCCAGACTCGGGTGCTACGTATGTGTTGGGAGGGGGGCGGGTGGGAGTGAGCGAGACGGCTTGCGGGCGGGGACGGGGTAACTTGACCCCTCCCCCTACCCTCTCCCCTGGACCTGGACGGGGGGTTCGCAAGTAGTTGGAGCGCCCAAAACGGCCTCGACGAGGAAGTCAAAATCATGTTACTAAGGTTTTGGCCCATTTTGGTTAGCCTCCAAATCGCGAAGCGATTTGGGAGGCAGGAAAATATGACGACGGAGCGTATCGTCATCCACCCTTCTCCTCTTAGCCTCTGGGGGGCATTGGTTTACGTTCTGGGGCCCAGGTGCCCATAATGGACAAGCACTCTTGTCTCATATGCTTGGTGCCTTCCTGAGAGGGCCAGCGGCTCTGCCTTATGCGCGTCGTGCTCTCCCGAGAGAGCAGGTGGCCCCGTCTCGCACACTTGGCGGCTCCGCGGGAGCTGGTGGGGTTTTGCCTTTCGCCACTTTTAAGGACGCGGTGGATGCATTGTTGCTCGATGCGTCTCGCGTGGGAGCTATGACTCCCCGGACCCATCTGGAGTGGGCCCACTCTCTGCCTCGCGTCTCTGGCTTTGTACCTCTGCCGCCGCTTCTGGCGCGCGCAATGGAGCGCTTCACGGCAATGAGCGCTGCTCAAGTGCGTGCGTTTCGGGCAGAGAAGCTAGAATTTTGGCGCGAGCGGGATCGTGTGACGGGCCAGGCTTGGGCACAGGAGCGCGCAACTCTGCCGCACCATGTGCGCGAAGCTTTGGGCCCGGATACGAATATCCGCTTGCTCGCCGAAATTGCGTCCGCCATGGAGTGGCCTGACGCAGCGCTGGCAGAAGATTTAAACCGCGGTTTCCCGCTTCTCGGCCAGCTTCCGCGAAGTGGCACTTCGCTTGCAGGTGATTATAAGCCCGACTGCATGAGCGAAGAAATGCTGCTGGACGGAGCTCGGGCCGGCAATAATGCGACCCTGGAACGCATTCGCCGGTCTAAGATAGCAGGGCCTACGATTTCGCACGCTTTCAATGCCAAGTGCGATGAGGAAGTCGAGACGCGGGAAGCGTGGTGGACAGCACTGTCGCCCGCTACTTCCATTATAACAGCTCGGTTTCCTGTGTTTGAAGGCTTCCGCGAGGACGCCGAGGGCAATTTGACCCCAAAGGTGCGCCTCGTGGGTGATTTTAGCGATTCCGATGTGAATGCAGCTACGTCCGTCGGGGAGGCTCTCCCAGTGGACAATCTTGATTCGCTGGTTAGGTTAGCGTCTGCTTTAATCGCATGGTGCGGCGAGCACGCTGAGATTCGCTTCCGCAAGGAAGATTCCAAGAGCGCTTTCAAGAGTTTACCTCTTCGCGCAGACCACTTGCGTTTTGCCGTAGTCTCGTGGGCAGCGGCAGCAGTTGAGAACTCAGGACTGCAGTTGCTCGCGTGTCCTTTCGGAGCTTTCAGCTCGGTGCATTCTCGGCATCGTTTTGGCAGTTTGGCCGGGGCGTTCTTAGCGCGGGAATTTTTAATTGCCACGCCTCGCTTTGTCGACGACCTGTTTGCCGCAGATCGTACAGAAGAGAATTCAGACGAACTTGCAGGGCCGAGGGGTACTGCAAACTGCACCCGCCAGGTGATAGAGCTCCTGGGATGGGGGCTGGATCAAAAAATCGGTCGACGATGCATCCAGCGCAACTGTGCTCGGAGTTTGCGCCCGCGCTTGGCCAGGCGCAATTGCATTTTGGATCGGTCGGGAGAAACTCGAGAAGTGGATCCGGTGTATAGATTGCGCTTTAGAGGCCAATTCTCTCCGGCCAGCTGAAGCTAAACGTTTGGCAGGTCGGCTCAGCTGGGGCGGTTCGGTAGTTTTCGGCCGTGGGGCAAGAGCTTATCCGGCTGCTTTGCACTGGCAAGCCAACAGCAGGAGCGCAAGAATTCCGAGGCGCGCGCGGAACGCGCTCTTGTGGTGGCGCCGTTTTCTTGGCCCCTGCCTAACTCGAGTCGTGCATCCCCGCCCCCGCGAGGTGCAACGCTGTTTCGTCTACGCAGACGCAGCTGGCGATGGGAAGATTTCGTTTGTACTTCCCCATCCAACTATGCGTTTGTGGCCCGCTGCTTCAGCGCCTGCGGCGGCGAAGCGCTGGGCTCAGCGGCGCCGCGCGCAGATCTATGGGAGCTTGTGGCCGCCATCTGCAGCGCGCAAGTCCTAATTGAGCATGGGCTCAAGGATTGCGAAACCATCTCATTCATGGATAGCAACGTCGCGCTTCATACTCTCATCCGGGGCGCGAGCCGGCAGGATAATTACAGTGATGTTGTCAATGATTGTTGGTTCACTGTAGCTGCTGCAGGCCTCCTGCTGCATGCGGCGCGCGCGACGTCCAAATTGAATTTGGCAGACGGCCCTACGAGGGGCGAGTCTTTTGCAGCGTCTGCCGCTGAACTCGCAGAGCGCGGATTCCGGCAGATCCCGCGGCAGCGGCCAGCTGCCGCGCCATGGAAGGGAGACTGACAGTATGCAGCGGGGCGCAGTGGATAAAGAGATCACCCCCATCACCTGTCGGCGTGGCCGGGGCAGACGCCTCCAGGCAATAGTTTCGAGGAACAGCTTTGGTCGGCAGTGTCGGTGCAGAGCGCAAAGGAGCGCGACACTTCATTACGTGTCAAGCGAAAACTTGTGAGCGCTTCTTCCATGCGATGGACACAGGAATACATCGTGTTTTCGTTTCCGTAGCCGCCGGCGCAGCTGCTTCTTCTCAGTCCGCGATGGATCGAGGTTTGCTTGATTTTCTGGATTCTAGCCGGGCTGCCGCTCTCGGCGGCACAACTGAACGGAGCAGAAATGTTCGTCCACGTGCGCAGTCATGGCTCGCACCTCTGTTGCGCCGCGCCAGTGCTGTTTCTGGCGAGTCGGCCGAGATCGATATTCTTGAACGGGAATTGCTCAGCGAAGGCGCCACGGGCCCCTCCGACTTCACAAGGCATCTCGGCGGAAGAGGCTTGCATGATTTGGGTTCCGCTTCAGCGTTGGCCGGTATCATTTGTGAAGCAATTTCTAGCCATCTGTGCGCAAACGGGCACTTGCAATGCCAAACCTGGGAGCCCCGCGCAAGCTATAGCACTTCCGGCTGCTGTTCCAAAGATTGCAGGTACATGTGTTGCTCATGACGCTGTGAAGCAGAGACGGGCAATGGCTGCGCTGGGAGTTTGTACCATGATACGTCTTTCTGCGCAATTGCCTTCGCCAGAGATCCTGGCCGACGCGATTGTCGCAATGGCGGCTGTCGATACGTTGACGCTGGCGCCTCCAGAGCAGACGCCCCGGGCAGAAGTGACACGGCGCTCGGGGGGCACTGCGGAGATGAATTTCGAAAGAGAAGCTATGTGGATCGAATTCTGTGGCTGGAAGGCCAGTGCTAGGGGTTGCGCCTCGGCGCTTCGCTTGCATGGCCAAAACTGCTCTCTGCGCGGATTCGATCCTTGGCCGCCGTCGGAGGCAACGGTGGACGCGTTCGTGGTCCTTTTTCGCAGTGCTTCTTCTCTCGGCAAGTGTCTGTCCCATTTGAGGACTATCCTGCGGTGGACGCGGACACCTGTCGGGGCGCTGCTTGACACAGGACGTGTGGTACGTGGAGCAGAGAAATCTGGAAGATGAATTCGTCGTCTTAAAATCCGTGCGACAGCCGATCAGACTCGGAAATTGGCGCAGTGGTGCTACAAGAACGGCCACGAAGAGATTGGCGGTTCATGGGTCGTGGCACGGCATTATTGCCTTCGTTACGGAGAGGTGCTGTAACTGGGTCAATATCGAGCGCGGTTTGTGCTTGAGGTGACCGCCGGAGGCACCGAGGCCATCCGGATGACTTTCACACGCCGCAAGTGCTGCTCTGAACCTGTCGAAGTGTCCCGTCGTTGCATTTGCGCACTGCAAGGGAAGACGCTATGCGGCACATGCGTCTTGAGGCAGAGATTGGCTGACAGGAACACTCCCTTTTCAGGGATCTCATATGACGAATCCTTGGTTTGCTTGAAGCTTGCGGCGCAGGCTCTGGGATTCGCCGAAGCGCGATCCTGGGGCACTCATGCGTTTCGCCGTGGTTGGGCCACGGAGGTCGTGCAGGCGAATGGCCCGGCTGCCCTTTTCTAC